TACTATTCTTACCCTAATAAGGCAGGGGAGTAAGATGGCTCATTCTTAATACAAAAATTAAGTATTTTCCTAATTTTGTCTATTCCCACTCGCAACTCTGCCTTTTACTGTTTACTTCCCAGGAGAAGCATGTCACTTCCGTCTTTACACATTTGTGAACATGCACAAAATGCTGGAAAACACTGATCTCAGAATTACATAATTTAAGATTCCTGAATGTCATCTGAGATAGAACCAAATGATCATATTATAGATCATATTAATCAAGTCTGATTTTTAAATACCAGAGGTCTTAGCAACATATCTGTTGTTATATTTCCATACTACCATTGATAGGTTGCCAATAATACTCATGTTCTCTCAGGAAATAATTTTTATCGATCAGACCTGAAATTCAATTTGAGCATAAAATCAATGTTAACTATTTGAAGATAAAATACTATAAATACATATAGCCTTAATTTAATACATAGGCTGATATTTTTGTTGATGATATCCAAAACAACACTGCAGAGAATGAGCCAATGTGAACAACAAATACCTAGAATATCTAATTCAAGTGAGCTACCCTGTGTTCCCATGATTGGAACCACTGGCACAGGGCATAGATAACATTAATGCAGTCTTTTTAGAAGCCAAAGTGAACAGTCTTCTTTTGAAGGTAATTTTCTGTATCTTATCTGTGACACATAGAGCAAGGAACTTTTATAATCACACACTGTTCCACTGATTCTGAACTTCTCTACCAGGCCATGCCTGACTCAAGATCTTAAACACAATAGATATGTTTTCACCATTTCTAGGGGTGGAGAGCTCATTTTTCCCATTTCCTTTGACTAATTATAAATCGGAAGAATTTCTTTTTTAAAAAAAGATACTTTTTTTTGGTATTCTCTACAAGCGATTTGCTAGACACTGGACAAAAGTTTGCCAGGTTGCCCACGGACTATATTAGGCAGTCACGGAGGTACATTGAATCAGCTGGCACTACTGACACTTTCCATTCAGAGCAGCGTGGCCCTAGCACCCCAACACTGAACTTTTTTTTTCCCCTCCCCTCTTCTGATCTCTCCTCCTTTCTGACCAACTAGTCACCTCGCTTCCAGAATTGCTTCATTCCTGGAATTCCTTTTTGGCAATCAAAGAATTTGTACAGGATTTGAACAACATCTAAGTCCCCCTCCCTGCCTCTTCCCCCAGTAACACCTACTAATTGCCTTTTTTGCTACCTTAGCCAGTTTTCAGTCCTTTCTCCAGAATTCCCTATGATCACAGATATTCAAAAGATATTGGCTAAGAAAACCATCTAACTAAATGGCATGCCTCAATTGTTTATGGTAGATTGCAAATTTTATTAAGATACTGTTCACTTTGTTTTATAAGTATTCCATACAACAATTTAAGCCACAACTTTCTTCCTACAGGCGCCCGGGGGGAACTGTGTAATATGTAGAGTGGTAGTATTTTCAAAGTAAGAATAATAACTAGGCTATGGACACTAAAAATTTTTCCCTTCGCTAATACTTGCGATTCTTAAATGTCTTCTCTGTGACTTTTATAAAAGAATTTTTTAAATTCCCTACGATACAGACTCATTTCACAATGTTGTTATACACCTCTGCCCCTCCCCCTGAATTACAACTAATTTAAAAATCATTCAGCACAGTTTAAAATAACAAAAGTTAGAATGATTTACAGTGAAAACCACCTACCTATATTAAGGTGGTAGGGAGAAACTGATAGGGTTAAAGATCCTTGCAGGGTATTTATCAACAAATCAGCCTCACATATCTCATCTGTTTTCAGCAGATTATCTACTGCCTCAATCTTACAGGTATGTCAACAATTCAGAATTCTCCAGGGCCAGTGGAGCTAACCACAGTTAACACCAGGGTCGTTTCTTCCCAGAATGTCTTGTGTTGATACAGGAATCTTTCCAGACCAGCACTGTTTCAACAATTGCTTGTCTGTTTCAACTTTAGAGACAAGATAGCAAATACGGAAATAATAAACGAAACACACACAACCATCAAGAGCCCCCAGACTTTTTCAAAGAACTTTAATTAAACAACATATTTGAACCATCTCTGGGAATTGTTCCATGGCATGTTAGTGTTAAATGTCTTTCAAGCTGATCTTTTTGAGTCTCAGAAAGCTGAGGCCTCAAAGTAAGTAGGTGTTTTTTGCTGGCTTCTCTCTCTGGCTGACTTGCACTTCTGTGTAGGCTGCTGAGTGTATTGCAGCTTGCTGGGAAGCTCCTGTTGCAATCAAAATATTTCCAACATTTTGTTCCATAGTTTGAAGGGTTACTCAGCCAGTTGCCCTCAGCACTGGGGCAGAAGTATCATGACAGGGCTCTTTGCTCCACCATATCAATTCTTGGAACTATGAAACATTCCTGCTATTCCCGCCTAAAATGATTTTCCCTCCAGCCACCTCTCTATGTCCAATCCTATTGAATTTGGGGGATCTAAAATCCCATTTCCTCCAAGAATCTTTTCAACATTCTCTTCAGTGAAAAGTCTAATCCATCCTTCTAAACTCCATAATGTATTAGCTGTTCTTTTACAGGGTAGCTTACCATATTTTATTTGTAAGACATTTTTTAGAGGGAGGTTTCCTTCTTCAGACTTTACACTCCTCCCAAAAAGCAAGCAGAGTCTGTTTCATTCAGCACCTTCAGTGCCCTGCATGAAGAACAGACTCATTTGATAGTTCTTGAATTCACGAAATAACATGTAATACAGAGGACAGATCATGTGTGGGTTTGGGACTAAGCGTCCAATAAATGTTGACAGACCAACACATTCTGCATATGTGAAATAACTCCTCCTGTCTATCTCATATAATTGTTTTAAGGATATAATAAAATGCAAACACATTCTCGAACAGGGTTAGGCACATACTAGATGCTCAGCAATGCTCCCTTTCCTTCTGTTCTTTCCCCACCACTTACTGGATAGTTGCTGTCTGTCTGCTTTCTGGCTAGCCGTTCTCAGAGGCTATGAAAGCCAATCTAATGTGCATGGCTGCGTCCTCCAAGCAGAAGCAGCTAGTTTGGTTTCAGTGTAGCACTGGACCTGCACAAACTAAAGGGTACAGTGACTTCATTGGTAAAAAATTGACCTCAGTTGTCCTGGTGTCATTAGTCAGCCTTCTAAATGTAAATTTAGTTTTTTTTCCCGTGCATTGTGGCAATTCTGTTATCTAGACTCCCACTCTCCCAGAACCACCTCCATTTTATTTAAGGAAAAATAGGAGGGGGCTTGGTGTCTGATAAAAATCCTACTTTGTATTAATAACTAAAAAGCTTAACAATATAACTGATGGGTGGTTTAAAAATTCAGGCTGGGAGCCCTCCAGTTTGGCTCAGTAGTTAGTGTCGGCCTGAGGACCAAAGAGCTGTGACTTTGATTCGGTCAAGGGCATGTACCTCAGTTGCACTTCAACCCCTGGCCCTGGTTGGGGTCTTGTGGGAAACAATCAACTGATGTGTCTCTCTTACATCAATGTTTCTCTCTCCCTCTCTCTCCCTCCCCCACTCCCACTCTATCTGAAAATCAATGGAAAAATATCCTCAGGTGAGGATTGAAAAAAAAATTCAGGCTTGGAAGTTTAAATATCAGTTCTGCTACTTACTACCTGTGGGAACTTGAGTGTTACCTAACTGCTTAGTGTCCTCATCTGCCCAATGGGGATTAAAGGACTTATCTAACCAGGTTTTGTTTCTGTGTGTGTGTGTGGGGGGGGAGCATAAATAACATTGAATGTAAACCACATAGTCCAATTCTTGGCACATAGTAGGTACTCAGTTACATTAACTATAATCATTAAACATCCCTGTTTACTTATCAAGTATGTAAATATTGATTGCCTGATCCTTTAGGATTCTTTTACACAAATTGAAAACCATACCGCCTCCCAGGGTCTGCTGTTTTAAATTTCTAGTACGGTCTGCAAGGGGTTTTCCTTTTCCTAATGTGTTCCCCATTAGCCACTGGCCTATAATTTCCTGAGAAGCAATTCAACATTGCAGGAAACAAACTGATATCTCAATTTAATTACTTGTTCAATTTCTTTCCTGTTCTCTTTTCTATAAGCTTATAATACTTTTATAATAAAAAATAATTATCAAATAAAAGAGGGGCTGTGCAGCTCTGATCATCTGACTTTTAACAGGGGAGAAAATATTTCATGTCTTCTAAGTTTTTACAACTAGTTTGCCATCTTCTTCACCTTCCATCTCTCCAGACTATCGATTACGGACACCGCTGAAAGGCAGAGGGAGTGGGGTGGGGGTGTGGCGGCCGGCGGGGCAAAGTCCCCTTTCTCCTCCCCCTCGTCCCCCGCGGGGTGGAGACTCTTACTGGCTCAAAGCCTCCTTCCCAATTTTTTACTTCCTAGATCAACCACTCGCGCAGTGCACGGAGTGGACCATCGCCCCGAAGTACCTGGGCGAGGCACCGCAATCCCAATTTACAGTTTGTAGGGGCGCCAGTACTTCCAGGTTTTCTTTTTCAAAATATTTACTGAGGTCACAGACTCTTGTAAAAATGTAATAAAAGCTAAGCGCGCCTTCCCCTAGAGAAAGGATCACATCGAATATCTGCATAAAATTTCAGTGTTTACAGACTCCTGGAGCCTCCAGATTAAGACCCCTGGGCGGAGGAGGGCGGCGAGGAAAGCAGGTTAAGGAAGGAGTAAAAATCTTGGACTGAATTCTTTCACTTAGATATATATGTGCATTTAATATACGTAGATACACGTGTGACAAAGCTGAGTAGGAGCTTATTTTGGAAAAAAAGTGCTTTCTCCAAGTGAGCGGGTCAGAGTCGGGAGGCGCGGCGGCTCTAACAAGGGGACCGCGGGCAACAGGTGGGCAGAATACCAGGTCCCGAACCTCAGGAAGCAGAGAGTCGCACCGCTGAGGGAAGGGGAGGGGAGGGGAGGGGGACGGGGAGGGTCGTGGAGGTGCAGGGAGGCGGCGGGGCTCCACTCACCGTTGCCCACGAAGCTGCGGCCCTTCCGGGCCAGGGTCTGCTGCACCTGTTCCTGGATCCGCAGGCTCTTGGCCGCCTGGCCGCTGCGGCCGCTGCTTCCCGCCAGCTTCAGCTTGGCCTCGGACGGCAGAGCCAGGCTGGAGCTGTCCAGCTGCCCCAGGATCTGCTGGCCCAGGACCGTCCGGATGTAGCCGCATTCGGCGGGGGAACCGGGAGCTGCCATGGGACCGAAGGAGTGGACCGAACCGCTCGCCGGCCGCGAACTGCAACAAGCTGCAGCGAAGCCCGGGTCACTGGTGGGAGCCCCGCCCCGCCGCCCCGGACCCGCCTCCGGACCCGCCCCAGTGCCGGTGAGAGGCCGGAGCCGAGGGGAGCAGGGCCACGGGAGCCCTGGAGCCCGGCCTCCCAGGAGGAGGGGGCGCGGCTCCCGCTAGGCAGGCGCACTGGGCCCGGCAGCGGGGGCGGAGCCCGCTGTGAGCGCGGACACCTGGCGAGTTGGACCTGCCCCCGGGAGGTGGAGGAGGTGGGGGAGGGCGCGGTCCGCCGGGGTCGCGCGCACTCTAGAGTCACCTCGGGTACTGCCAGCCAGGGCCGCGCCCAACTTTCGTTGCAGTGCTCGGCCTCCGCCCAGCCCTCAAAGGATGATTTCCGCTGGGCTGCGGAGGGGCCGCCCTCCGGGCAGGTGCGCCCGAGAAAGGCACGTCTCTTGCTGGGCTCAGGTTTGCCTCTGGGATCCTCTAGTGAGTACTACACCTGGTTAGCCAGGCTGTGTCAGACTGTTGGAAACATTTAGTGGGTTTCCTGGACCTGAGGGTGAACAAGGGCAATTTGGTCAGGCAGAAAAGGCAGTAAGAAAAAAGTGCCAAGAAGATGACGTGTGAAATAAAAGATTTTTTTTATAATACGGTAGTTTTTTTTCCTAGTACAACTGGGGACTATGTACTTTTTGCACAGATGCAGTCTCAGAAACATATGTTCTTCGTTGGAGATCTGTTTCCTCTTACAAATACAAATTGTACCCGGTACACTATGCTCACCACTCCTCTCCTATGAACACACCCACACAGAGAAACTCCAGCAAGAGGCACTAGGGAAGGGCACACTTTTAATAGGTGATACTTTTTAATAGCCCTACTAATGTTGATTAAGTCCTCATTATGGCAGGCTCTGTAGGGGGCCCATTGAAGGGGCCTCTGACTTTCAATCTCATCTTCCACAACTTATATTTATCGTGCTATTAATTATGTTTCACAGGCAGTTGACTACAGGGAACTTGAGAGCTGAGCTCAACAGAAAGGGTCCTTGACCTTAAAGTTTACAACCTAAGCCACTCGTCCTGATTTTCCTCTTTGGACTTGAGAGGGAGAAAGAAAAACATCTATCCCTGGTATTAAGTAAGATAATTTTCTTTGATTGCTTGGGTTTGTATGTTCACTTTCTTTCAAGTCACTCGATTACTGTAAAACTCCACTTATTCAGGTCTGGAGTGGCTGGAGAACACAGCTTCCCCCTCCCCATGCCCTTTAATCTTTGCCTATACTCTTAATGTGCAGGTTCAAAAGCTTCCAGGGATAAGGGGAATATGAGGGTCTCCAACCCTAAACAAGGAAATGGTGATGGTTCTGCCACTCTTTCTCAGCCAGACACATGGCTAAATCCTTGTGGCTTAAGTGAAGTCATGTGGATGGTAGGTCTTGGAAGCAATTCCTCCCATCCCAGCAGGACCAGTCTTGAGGTAGATTATACCTTGTGAAGAGCTCAATATGTAGCCCTGGCTGATTTTGCTCAGTGGTTAGAGTTGGCCCACAGACAGAAGAGTCTCAGGTTCCATTCTGGTCAAGGGCAAGTACCTCCATTTTGGTCCACAGGGCCCTGGTGGGGTCGCGTGGGAGACAACCAGTCAATGTGTCTCTCACATCAATGTTTCTCTCTCTCTCTCTCTTCCTCCCACTCTATCTGAAGATAAGTGAAAAAGTATCCTCGAGGGAGGATTAAAAAAAAAAAGCTCAATATGTAGCCAGTTGATAATATCCAACCCTCATGCCAAGATTCAGTGGGAAAGAAGGACAAGTGATGTAGAGAATTCCTCCAACAAACTGTTCCTATCCTTTTCTTCTTCTCTCCCTCTCCTTATTCATGCCTTCTTTGACAGATCTGAGAGTGCTGCTTTGAAAGATGATTTCAATACCTTCCCCCACAGGGCCAGCTAGGGTATCCTTTGTTGTTGTTTTTGTGTGAGTGTGTAAGCCTGGCCCGCTCCTGGAGAGCCACAGCTTAACAAGGTCTGCTCTGCCTCCATCTAGGTCCCTCAGGAGGCAGTGGAGAACCATTTTTGTTTTCATTTATTTATTTATTTGATTGAGCCAAACCTCATTTACTTTTTCTTACAAATTGATTTTTTGTCTTTTTTAAGGGTGATGTTGTAACTGACTATCCTGTTAAATAGACACCAATATTAAACATGGAGAAATCTTGATTTTCAGTATTTGGGTGATTTGACAAGAGGAAGATGGTCAAAAGCACAGCTTGTGAGTGAGGCAGATATGGATTAAATCTCAGCTTGCCCTTTATAAGCAGTGGGGCTTTAAGCAAGTTTCTTTACATTTTTAAGCCTCAATTCTCTTACCTGTAAAATGGGAGCAATAAACATATCTACCATGAAGTGCTACTGTAAGGATTAAATGGTAAGTGGTTATAAGAAATCCTCAATAAATAAATAATTGTTCAATGATCTTTAACAAACATCCCCTTGAGATTCAATTTTGGATTTTCTCACCTCCTTTGGGTCTCTGCTCATGTCAACTTATCATTTGAATGACAGACACTCACACACACACACACACACACACACACACACTCCATAGCACTTTTTAAAAAAATTAATTTATTTTTGTTACAGATGTTTCTCCTTTTTTCCCCTTGACACCATCCTCTCAGATCCCCCCTCCCACCCCCAGTATTGTTGTCTTTGTCCATGGTTATGAATACATACATGCATATAAGTTCTGTGGTTTATCTCCCCCCCAGCCCCCTCTTCTGAGGTTTGTCAGTCTGTATCCTACTTCTATGTCTCTGGGTCTATACTTTGCTTATTTAATTGTTGTTTTCTTACTGCAGCATAAGCTCCATGAAAGAAAGGATTTTGTTTTGTTCACTGCTGTTCTCCAGGTCGTAGAATAGTGCACATAGTAGACAATTGGTATATGTTGAATGAATGAATGAACAATGAATAAAAGCACTTAGTGTATTACATAGTACTTAATGAGTGCTCAACAACTGTTAGTAGTAACTAGGTTTTTTATATTATTTTGGTAACTTATTTTTAAAAATTGTTTTTCATTTATTGCTTTGAGACAGAGAGAGAAACATCAACTTGTTGTTCCATTTATTTATTCATTCATTGGTTGATTCTTGTATATGCCCTGACAGGGGATAGAACCCCAAACCTTGGCATATGGGACAATGCTCTAACCAACTGAGCTACCCAGTCAGGACTGGTAGCTTATTTTTTTAAAAAGTCAGATAGATATCCTTATGTACTCTAGGTATTCAGTTAATTAGCTATGTAATATTCCCTATAAATAGAAAACAAACTACACTGAGATAATTTTTAAATAGTTTCAGACTTCAATAACTCAGGAAAACAATCCTTTTGAAAATAAGATAACCATATAAATTCATTAAAAGGCTCCCTTTGGAGATAAGAATCCTGTTGTAATAGCAACTGCTAATTACAGGGTGAAGGAGTATGCAGACTGGCATTGTGCCCCAAAACGTAGTCTAGATGTGCTTCTAGTCCAACAAGAGGCAGGCCCTGCCATGTTTCCTGGGAAAAGTGCCTAACCAACTTCCTGAATTGTGAGCAAGCCCTGAGATGAGCGCTAAAGGTAGCTTCTAGCCAACAAATTGAGGCATGGAAATAAAATGCTGTGAATTCTTTTGTGGTGTTTGGCTGCTCTACAGTCTGCTACCTTTGAATATTTAGTCCCAGCTTTGAAATCTCTTTTATTTCTTTTGTTTTTTATTTACCAACAGAATATGATAAAATAAATAAATAAAAAGTTAGAACCACAGGAATGTAGAATTGGAATGTAAATAACAGATAACCGAATCGTGAGGCTACAGTTCCTTCTGCTAGGAACTTAAAATAATGATTCAGAAATTCGTGACTTTTACACCTGCATTTCAATTTGATTTACACACTACAGCTTTAAAGCACTAATCTTTTATTGTTTTCAGATCTACAGTTCGGGCTTCTTCAGAATAAAGTTATTTCCTTTAACCATATATAAATTCCAATATGCAAAAAATTTAGGAAGTTACTAAAAGGCTAAATATAGTATAAATTTTAGAGCAGAAATAATATCTTAATGGAGAACTTTAAATAACATGAATGGCATAAATACTTTTTGATTCATATTTAAAATATAAACTATAATACATTTTAATAAGTGTCTTCTCTCAGGAAATATTTTCCTGTTACTATTTGTAGGCTATTATTATCTATTGCTTTTAGAAAGTATTTCCTAAATTAGTGTAAGAGACCTGACAGATAGAAAGTTTAAAATAAACCTCAGGTTTTATTTCCTTTTTTAGCACAAGGATGTGTTGCCAAGGCAATGGGTAGCAGTTTTATCATTAGTCACATATAATCAAAGTGGATCAGGACTGGAAAAGGCAGCTCTAAACTTGACGGCACTGAACACCACTCTCCAATGAGGACTTTCATTGGCAGTGAGGGTTAAGGTGTTTCTCTTTAATGCAAATGCTCATTTTTGGCTGCTATTTTAGATATATTTTGAGTGTGCAGGTCTGAAAAGTCTTCTTTTTTTAAATCTTTACCCCGAGGATATTTTTCCATCGATTTTCAGATACAGTGAGGGGTGGAGGGAGAGAGAGAGAAACATTGATGCAGGAGAGTCAATTGGCTGCCTCCTGCACAACCCCCACCAGGGCTGGGATCAAACCACAATCGAGGTACATGCCCTTGACCGGAATCAAACCTTCCACCCTTTGGTCCTCCGGCCGAGGCTCTAACCGCCGAGCCTCTAACGGCCGAGCAAAACTGGCCAGGACTGAAAATTATTCTTTTTAAAAGTCCCCAAATGTTTGGGAGGTGGAAACCAGGTGCACAACCACTAGAGCTGGCAATGAGCAAGTTATTCATAGTGATTGAAGCTTTCAAGACATTTCCTTTAATCGTGACTCATGGCATGTGTGAGC